ACACACTTGATTAACCCTGTGATTAAACTGCTGTATACTTTAACTCCCATAGTCATCCACTGTAGAAGCATAAATATGGACATCAGCAAAACCAACTGCAACCAGAACAACTTTTTTCCTCCAATAATCCGTGGGCATCTGCCATAGATTGCCTGGATCAGGATAAAAAAACCAAAGCAGACAAAGTGTCTTTGCACAACTCGAAGAACCCTAACATTCATAGGCCTTTACAGGGACTTCAACCACTGTGATACCTGCTGGTGGGACAACACAGCAGTGCACAGGCAATCCAGTAAGGTTCTGGAATGCACTGATGACAACTTCCTGACACAGTTGATTGAAGAGCCAACAAGGCAAGGTGCTGGCTGGTTCCAGTAGTTACAAATGAGGAGGAACTAGCTGAGGACGTGAAGGCTGGGACCTTGGCTGCAATTACCATTAGACGGTAAAATTCAGGATCCAGAGAGAGAACAGAGAAGAAAGCAGTAACACAACCCTGGACTTCTAGAGAGCTGACTTCAGCCTTTTCAGGGATCTACTTGGAAGAGTACCATGGGACAGAACAGGGGCCCAAGAAAGCTGGTTGATATTCAAGGACCATCTCCCCTAAGCTCAAGAATGGTCCATCCTGACAAGCAGAAAATTAAGCAAAGGCAGCAGGAACCCTGCATGGATGAACAAGTGGCTCCTAACCCAACTCAGACACAATGAGAAAGTGCCTGAGCGAAAGCAGAGGCAGATAAACCAGAGGGAACATAGAGATACTGTGCAGTTATGCAGGTATGTGGTCAGGAAAGCCAAAGCCTACCTGGTGTTAAATCTGGCAAGTGATTTGAAGGACAACAAGAAAGATTCAACAAGTACACAAACAACAGAAGGAAGACTAGGGAAACATGAGCCACTGCTAAATGGGGCAGGAAACAGACCTGGGGAACCACAGGCTAGTCTGCCTCATGTCAATCCCACACAAGATGAAGGAGCAACTTATCCTGGAAACCACTTCTAGACATATGAAGCACAAGAATGTGACATGGACCAGTCAGCATGGATTTACGATATGGAAATGCTGCTTAACCAGCCTGATAGCCTTCTATGATGAGACTACTAGCTTGGTAGATGAGGGGAGGCAATGGATGTTGTTTACCTCAACTTCAGAAAGCCTTTTGACACCATCACCTGTAACATCCTCACAGACAAGCAGATGAAGCATGGGTTACACAAGTGCACAGTGAAATGGATTGAAAACTAGCTGAATGGCTGGGCTCAGATGATTTTGACCAGTGGTACAAAGTCCAGTTGGAGGCCAGTCACTAGTAGTGGTATACTCCAGGGGTCAGTACTAGGTTCTATACTCTCTAACATCTTTATTAATGACCAGAACATCAGGACAGAGTGCACCCTTAGCAAGATTAGAGATCACACAAAACTGGGACGTGGGGCTGATAGACCAGATGGGTGTGCTGCCATTCAGACAGTTCTCAACAGCGTGGAGAAACAGGCAAACAGGAACCTCATGAAATTCAATCAAAGGAAGTGCAAAGGCCTGCGCCTCACGATGAATAACCCCACACACCAGTACACAGTACGGTGTGTGTGGGTGGGCGACCAGATGGAAAGCAGCTTGGCAGAGAAGCACCTGGGGTCCTGCTGGACTAAAAGCTCAGCATGAGCCAGCAACGTGTCCTTGGGCCAGCAACCTTGTGGGCTGCATTGGGAAAAGCACTGCCAGCAGGCCAAGGGAGCTGATCCTTCCCCTCCACTCAGCACTGGTGAGACACCCCTGGAGTGCTGGGTCCAGTTCTGGGCTCCCCAGTACAAGAGAGACAGGATCATACTGGATCAAGTCCAGTGAGAGGCCACAAAGGTGATCAAGGGATTGCAGCATCTGACCTACATGGAGAGGCTGTGAGAGCTGTTCAGCCTGGAGAAGAGAAGGCTCCAGAGTGATCTTATCCATGTGTATAAATACCCAGTGAGAGGGAACGAAGATGATGGAGCAAGACCCTTCTCAGTGGTGCCCACCAAAAGGAGAAGAGGCAATGGTTATAAATTGAAATACATTAAATTCCATCTGGACATAAGATGATGTTCACCAAAAAACAGAAAAAAGAAGTTATAAACCGTCACTTTTTTTACACTGAGGATCAAAAACTGGAACAGGTTGACCAGAGTGGCTGTGCAGTTTCAGCAACCTGTTTCAGCTGCCCCTGCTTTGAGTAGGGGGACTCAATGAGGTTATCTAGAGAGATCCTTCCATCCTCAAGGACTTTGATTCTATGAAGGTGTGGTTATAATCAGACTAACATGCAATTTAGTCTTTTAAAGCAAGCTTTAGTATATTTAGCCTAATCTCTTCTTAAATAAACCCAACTAATTCAGTTAATCATACTTCTTTGGGGGGTGTGCATGAAAGGTGGATATTTCAACAGTCAGCAATCAAAAAAAAACCACTAATGTTCAGGATACGCATTTGTTAAGAGTTTCCCAACCCTGCATTAACTGATATTAATGAACATGTTTATTAAACTAACTTGAAAACATCTGTTGTACATTACCAGTGTTTGATGTTTACGCACAGGGACTCAGACACATGGTTACAACAGTCTAACAAGTTATTATGCATCAGCAAACGGCAGTCTAGCTCTTGACTGGCAGACAAGGTCTGACAGCTCTTGCTTCTACAATTTAAGACACAAGAGTAAGTCCCCAGTTTGCTTTACTCTCCACAATTACCTTTCTTACAGCAAAGTCAGTAGAAAGGCATACCTGTCTGCACATCAACTGCTTCAGGGAAAAAAACCAGATTTTAAATGTCTTGGTTAAAGATGATCCTTCTCATTTCAGTAGACAAACAGAGCTTTTATTTTGAAGACTCCCAGATATTATTTTTACTAAAAAACTTGGATACAGAAGCATTAAATTATTTCAAAAAAGGAGACCTAAACATCTTTTATTCATTTTTTTTTTCCTCTTAAAAAAATTATGGGATCAAGCTCAGAAAGAAGCAAAGTGATAGGACAAGAGGAAACGGCCTCAAGTTACACCAGGGAAGGTTTAGGCTGGATATTAGGAAAAATTTCTTCACTGAAAGAGTGATCAGGCATTGGAACAGGCTGCCCAGGGAGGTGGTAGAGTCACCATTCCTGGAAGTGTTCAAGAAACGTGCAGATGTGGTGCTTAGGGACATGGTTTAGTGAGCTAGGTGGTGTTGGATTGGACTTGATGGTCCTTGAGGTCTTTTCCAACCTTAATGATTCTATGATATGCCAAATAAGAGCCTTTAGTAGTTTTCCAAGATATAAAGGCATACAGTTTTGAACCAGAAAAAAAATTATGAAAAAAACTTACTATGTGACAAATATTGTAAGAAAACATTCAATATTACAAGGAGAAAAAACTATGAATGTGTACAGTCTCAAATTTCTGTATGGTCAAAAAACCACCAATGTATTCCCTTCTACATGCAAAAATTGTTACAGTTAACAGCAGGCCGTCTGCAAATCATGCAAAGTAGCCAGCTATTTCTTGAGGATTATTTATTCCACAGTAAATTCTAAAAAAAATGGATCAGATTTAAATCCATTCCTTTTATTATACACACAGATGTATACTGATAGATTAAAAATTCTTAGTTTACCATATAAGATGCATTTTTGAAGAATATGATGGATCAATAAATACTTGTTTATTAAGTTTTCTAAGAAAACAGCATACAATACTTTTCTAAAATTAGAAGGAAATAAGTTTCTAGTTAATAGCTTATTTGTATGGTTCTCTAACTTGCTTTTGTATTTGTACATAAACAGGTAAGAACTTTTTAACAGGAAACTAATAGAAACCTCATCCTGGCTATTAAATGGCTAATTTGTGAAACTTCAAAACTTAAGTTCCTTCTTTCTCCTTGTCTCAAGTTTTACAATCACAGATTGGATGAGAGGTTTTAATTGTTGTACTCTTTTTCCTGAATACAAGTAATTTGATTTTGTAGTATCACTGCTTAAGGTACCTGCACTACAGCCTTAGATTTTTTTACATCTTAGTTTAAAACATCCTCTTGATGAGAATAAACCATTCAAATAGGGTTGGTTGGTCTTCTGCCTGTGCAATAATCTCCTACGAAGGATATAGAAATGAAAAAAAATTGTCTGCACACAGATCACATGTCTTCATTCACAGACTGGGATCAGCAGCAACTAAGCTACTAAAGCAATTGGGATCTCCATGTTTGTATGCATATGTCACATGGATGACACCGAGAAGTTATTCCCAGAAAAGTTAATATAATAAAATTTTCTGCAGAACTGCCCATTAATGCTGAGTAAGAAGGGAGCAGATGGCAGTAAAGACATTCCAGAAGTCACTATGAGCTCCCTAGAAAAAATTTCACAGAAACCAAGTTTCCTGAGCAACAACCATCCCGATAACTGATATAAACAGAACCTCTCAGACTACTTCAAAAATTAAGTAAATTCAGAAACTGGAAGAACAGCACACATATAAGAAATTCAAACACAAACAAGCTTGGACACAGAGCTGAAATTCCAAGTTGCACAGCACGGTCTCTACTCCTATATAAAAAGGATCTCAAACTTGAAAGAATTTCTTACTAGCGTCTTCAGAAGAGACAATTATGATAATTGATCTTTTCACTTGTTACGATTCATCATACTTTAAAGAGAAACAGAATTATTATTTTCAAAAGTGTTTCTTCCCATACTGAGCTGAAGTCCCAATTTGGCCACGTTCAAAGTAAATATGTTCTTTTCTTGCAGCAGAAAGAGATGCTCACACCTTTAACATATTTCTCATAAAAAACTGTCAATGTTCATCACTTGCAGGAGGAAGAAAGAAAAGTTGCCAAAAGAAGCAATCAATACAAAGATTGCTGTTATACTTCCACTAACAAGAAAGAGGCAGGGAAAATGTGCACGACATCTTACTATCTCTTGTTTTCACCTGTCACAGCATAGGTTGTGCTGCCATTCAAACAGTTCTCAACAGTGTGGAGAAACGGGCAAACAGGAACCTCATGAAATTCAATCAAAGGAAGTGCAAAGGCCTGCGCCTGATGACGAATAACCCCACACACCAGTACACAGTACGGTGTGTGTGGGTGGGCGACCAGAGGGAAAGCAGCTTGGCAGAGAAGCACCTGGGGTCCTGCTGGACTAAAAGCTCAGCATGAGCCAGCAACGTGTCCTTGGGCCAGCAACCTTATGGGCTGCATTGGGAAAAGCACTGCCAGCAGGCCAAGGGAGCTGATCCTTCCCCTCCACTCAGCACTGGTGAGACACCCCTGGAGTGCTGGGTCCAGTTCTGGGCTCCCCAGTACAAGAGAGACAGGATCATACTGGATCAAGTCCAGTGAGAGGCCACAAAGGTGATCAAGGGATTGCAGCATCTGACCTACATGGAGAGGCTGTGAGAGCTGTTCAGCCTGGAGAAGAGAAGGCTCCAGAGTGATCTTATCCATGTGTATAAATACCCAGTGAGAGGGAACGAAGATGATGGAACAAGACCCTTCTCAGTGGTGCCCACTGAAAGGAGAAGAAGCAATGGGCAGAAACTGAAGCACAGGCAATTCCATTTAAATATTAAGACATTTTGGTTTACAGTGAGGGTTATCAAACACTGGAATATGTTTTCCAGGGAGGCTGTGGAGCCTCCATCCTTGGAGATGCTCAAAACTTGACTGGACACAGTTCTAAACAACCTGCTCTAGGTGACCCTTCCTTACATAGGTGGGTTGGATCAGACAATCTCCAGAGATGCCTTTCAACCTCAACTATTCTGTGATTCTGTGAAAAGCTGATGTTCTGAAATGATCCTGCCTCTTCAAGCATTATAAATCTTTCATACTTTCCAACATTCTAAATTTCAGCCTTTTTAAATATGGCATTTTATTCTCTGGTCTCAGAATTTATGTTTACAATTTTTACTCTTCTAAAACAAGCACTACAAAGAGGCAGTCTGAGCAGGAACCAGTGTGAGACCAGCATGTGACCAATGACAGGACTGTAGGACGGTATCTGGATGTATACTACATGTGATGACAAAGTAATACTCCTAATGCATCTCACAAAGAAGACTCAAAAGCAAGTGTTTAATATTTCTGCCCCTTTAAACACGTATTAATTTTTCATAAAGTTTTAAATGAACGTAAAAACCTGTCCCCATTACTGCTTGTTGATAGTTTCTATTTGAATCCACTAAATTTTGCAAAACTTCCACTATTACAATGCATTTGAATATCAAATTTCAAACAACCTTTCCAATAGCTGCCAAACCCAAAAACATACCCCAGCTTCACAGTAAAACTATTCATCCTCACTTGCTGGTTTACTTATAGCCTCCAGTGACACAATTATAATATTATTTGTCCCCAGATCAAACATTTTCCAGGAGATAAAATTCTTTAATTTATATACTGCTCCTGAATGCCTTCCATAAAGTGGGATGGAAATTTGGCAGAATAAAAGCAGGTACTATCTTCCTACCAAAACTTCCAAAAGAATCTGTGACAATGAGTTCTTTAAATTCTTTTAACCTTCAAAATCTACATATAAAATCTGACACAGAATTTACTTTTCTACTAGAAGCTTTTTGAAGTCAGATACTAAAGTTCAAGTATTTTGCATCCCATTCTTTCTGCTGCTCTATATGCTCAATTCTTTATGTCATAACATCTTGCTAAACAAGACTATACTGTTCATACTAAGCTTAAATTGAACTCAGACTTCATTAAGCAACTTAATAGAAGTTAGTGCTCCTAATGAAAGTGCTTGAGATAATCCACCAAAGATAAAGAAACTCTGTCCTTCAAATGATAAGCGATGATATTATAGAACTGTCTGAAAACAGTGAACTTCAATTTAATGAATGCAGAGTATCAAAAAGGAATAAAAGGGACTTAAAATAACTGTTTACGAAAGATACCTTCAAGAACCAGCCAACAAAGGGAGAAAACAGAGTTAACTATTTGTAAGGCTGAGATTGTGTTTACTAGTAACTAGTTCCAACTGTTCTTCAAAACCAACAGAACGCAATTTAGATTCCAGTAACTATATTTTTAAAAGTTTATCCATCTAAATGAGAAAAACAACACTCGAGTCTTTCTACTCATCCTTATCAAGGTGCTGTTGTCAATGGCAGCAGGAAGAACAGAAGAGAAAAAGAACATCGTACTCTGTTAATTGATAACAGCCCAACAAAGAACAAAAGCAAAATGCTGGTAATGTAGACTGCAAGTTAAATTATGTTTATGTGCAAATATTGTGCTCTAGAGATAAAAGAACAAGCTATCCACGAAAACATTTACATATAAGAAAAACACCGATAACAAACATACATCTATGTTCACCTAACAGGTATGCTTTGCTTTGAAACAGAAATCTAAATAAAATAAGGTAAGTTTTACCATTTTCTACTATGGATTTTTTTTCTATTTTTAAGCAGGATCATCAACATGTTGCTTAATTTTGTTGAAATCAACAAAATTAAGCAACACATATGCAGGAATTCACCATTACTATGTCATGTTCTACAATGTGCAGCACTTACAACAAATACACTATGCAACATATTTTCAGCTAAAACATCTGAAGGCTGATTTTCAAAATAAAATACCATTTTAAAAACAGGGAGTTTTAAAGCAAAATAGCATGTGAAAATAGTTAAGCTATAGTGAATAACATGACTTAATTCACAACTTACTTAGGAGTCGAAGGACCTCTTGGCCATGTTCCATCCTCATTCTTCTGTTCTATCACCAGTACCTAACACAAAAAGTGTAATAAGAAAACCCAATTGCTACTAGAATCAATAGATTGCTTTCTGTTACAGCCTTTTTTAATGGATTTGCTGACTTACAATTGAGACAGAAGAGACTGATGTTTAGTTGCCGTTCGCCGAGGTTCAAGAATATTCCATTGAATTACACTGCACCTTCCTCTTGCTCTATTCACTTTTTTCTCCCCACACCTTGATTTGTGCAACTTTGGGCAAGCCACCTAATATATCTATGCCTCAACAATCCATGAATAAAATGGCAAGCCTTTACCTCTCAAAAAGGTCATAAGATGACCTGCAATGTCTAAAACGGCATCTGTGAATCTACAGAAATCACGTCTGTAAAACAGCCCCATTAATGAAGGGATATTCCCAAAGGAATTTTGCCTCTCACACAACACAGATCAGTAGTGGGGAAAAAAACCCAACAAACCCAACCATTTTCTGCCCTTAAAATCATACCTGTCTGGTTACTCCTGTATTTGTTGCAAAAGCATTCATCCAGTATTAATTTTCCAATGGGACAGTTGGCTAACAAAATTAATTTCATTCAAGTTGTTATTGGTACAAAAGGGAGTACAGAACACTCAGTCCTAAACACAGGCATCAAGTGCCATTTGAAACGCCTTTGGGTATTTGAGATATCTGTCCTATGCTGGCAGATATGACACAGGACCTACAAAAAGCTCATGCCTTTCTGGATTGACAGCTGGGATAGCCTAGATCATCTGAAACACCAACTAGACTCCAATATTTAAACTGACTCTCTTAATTTTCAATGCAACTAATTCTACATAATTGTACACTGATGTTTCAGGATTCTAATTAACTGCCATGCTATGTCTGTATGTGTCTACACAGTGACATTCATTCACATATGTACTTATGCTCAAAACCTTATACATAAGTCATGCTGCCACTTCAGTCTGCATAAACTAAGACATGACACTGAAAACCAGCTTTCTATCATGACCTGCCTTCTATCTGGAAAAGAGTAGTCTGCTATCTTCCATCATAAATGCTGTAAGACAGATTCTGCCATATTTCCTCCCACTGGCCCTCAGAGACTACTAAATAAAAGGAAGATTTAGACTTAAAGTTCAACAGAACCCCTAAAGGCTTACTTCAGAAACCAATTTATAAATTCAAAACATTAATTTACTCAATCACATACACAGTTTAGAATTACACAGTAAAAAATAACTATTAAGTTAAATAGACTGCAACAGTCAGAATAACTACTACTAGATCAGGAAGCTCAGCAAGAAAAATAACAACCTTGTGTGCCAGCAAGTGCAATTGACCAAACACACATATTCTGCCTTGACATTTAGCATTTTCAGAAACCATGGTTAAACTTGGTTTTGAACAATATTTGTTTCGCTGAAAGTACAGATGTCACCTAGAGATCTTTTTAAGGCTATATTAGACCATGCTTGCTTCATAGTTAATGTTTCACTGTGATAGAGGCAATTTGCAAGTTACATCTTTGATGCAAATCTTCTATGGGAAATGTGGGCTCTTCCAGCAGGACCTCTGCATTGTTAAAATTACCAGTGTGAGGGTTTAAGTGCATGCAGCATGAAGCTAAAGGGCACAATAGTTCAAGCTGTTATTTTGGTACATTGGTTACTTACCTTCCACGCCATAAAAATAAACTGAAGCACAGCATAAATACTGCTGCTAAGTAGGTTAGAATCAAGTTTTTCAAGGCAAAAGGAAGCACTTTAATATAATCTTGCCTACAATCACTGCCATCAAATTTCATCCATTAATATTTGTAGTACAACAGCACGAACTACAGCTTTTGAAAAAACATACAACTCTATTTGAAGACTAAAGAATCAATGTAATAATCTGAAAAGTTATTCTAACAATGAAATTGTTCAATCAGTTCACATTTATCTTTGTGTAGCTTTACCATCCAATATTTGGTCTTTATATTCATCTGGAAAGGTAAAAAAAATTTGTAAGAAATCCTGCCATAAAGGGATTTTGAAGTGATGATACAGTCTCATGTTAAAGCTGGTTTTCAAGCTCATTGTCTCTATAGCTCTTATTTGAAATATATTCAATTTTTTTCAATTTATTTCTCTAAATCTGTACAGTGGCATTTGAATAGAAGACATTATTCTTTTAGAGTACCTAAGAAGTTCTTCACATCTTGGGTTTCATTACAGAAACATATCCCAGATCCTAGGAATATTTTTTATTTCAGGTTTTACCAAATTCAAGTCAGCAACATTACATTCACTTACTTTTACTTCACCAGGAAAGTTAAACTCATCTTTAATCCTGAAAATACACTCAAAGACTAGTTTTATTTTGATGATTTTGTTTATAAAATCCTCTATCCCTAACATAATTTATTAGGAGAAGATTTTAATTTAAAAAAAATGAAAATTCATTGGGTACAGCTACATTTTCAGAAGAAAAAAAAAAGTATATTAAAAAAATAATATTACACTGTACCTGTCCCTGGTATAAACCAGCATCCTGTATGGTACTGTCTGGCTTATTCAAAGGTTCAAAAGTATTACTCATATATTTGTTCCACAATCTGGTCTCTTTTTCACCTGGAATATTGAAGATTTTTCTTATCTCTTTTTCAATTGTATCTGTTTTGAAAGGGAGAGAATACAAGTTTAGCATTTCACTACAAAAACAGTATAAAGCCAAATGAAGCATCTTAACCACCTACTCTTTTCTTATATTCAAAATATGAATGAAACTGTAGAAATAGACATACAACTACATCATGCTGTAGGACAAGCAGGAAGTTGCTAGCTTGCCTGTCTTTAGAAAGGAAACAGTCAGAGGACTATCTTATTCCCTCCTGAGTCTCTCAGCAAAGCAGCCCAAATAAAGACAAGCTGACAAACAACAGCTGACAGGAGGTACCTAGGTACCCACCCAATGATTTCTCAGTGTGGTAACACAGGAGTGTGTGTGGGTAGGGAATGATTAGAAGTGAGACTGGTAGCAAAACCAGGTGTAGGGAGTGCAAGTCATTCTGTTCCTCTCCCTAAATCAAACCCTTTTTGGTTTTCACTCATCTACTACTCACATCCCAGGGCAATTAGCACTAACCACAATATATATGCATAAACTTTAATTTACATGCTCACAGAAATTAAAGACTACTCTGTAAAACTAAAGCGCATATATTTATTTTAAAAGGATGATGAAAGATTTTACATCCCTGAAAGATTTTATATAAAAAGGTCTACCAGCTCCTACCCTACCTGACAGAAATATAATCAGTGTTTCATAATTTAAGGCAGTATAACTATTGTATACAAGTGGAATTTAAGAAGTTCATAATTAACTCCATTCTCCTTATGCAAAAGTAAAGTTTATTAAAGAGTACTTTAATTTAAACTAATATGTGCAGTGCTATACCACGGCAACCTCGCTTAATTTTTTTTTTCAATTTTACACTCATAAGGCCCCACGGCAGACAAGTCGCATAACAGCTAACACAGAAAACAAAACAGGAGTCAAGAAGCGTATAGTTTATCCCTGATGAACACTGAAACCACAACGATAAAAATGGACACTGTAAGCTCTGCGAGAGACTCTCCTTTTAAGTCTCAGGATAAAACACCAGCGTGTCAGCTCCTCTAGCATTCCCCTTGCTCCCTTTTATTTAAGATTATAATTTTATTTTCCATTGTGTTAAATACGAAAAGATGAAATGAGACCTGAAGCGTAAAAGTACCTTGTAAAAATTCAGCCATTGGCTTGTGAAATACGCATGACAACTGGCCAATATAATATTTGTAGATATTGTAGGATGAATACAATATCCTACACTAGTTAACACACATTTTAGTATGAAAGCAAGTGTTAGACTGGATCATCTGTTTCTTAATACAGATGACATGTAGGCAAGGTAGGTGCTACAAACAAGACAACTGCCTGTTTCTTGATTGATGACTTTAAAAAAAAAAATCATGTACTGTTTGAATCAGTTCTCAACCAATGATTTCAAATAACTATATTTGAGTGCAAGAATGAATCCAGTCAGCAACAACCTCTCAAGAAAAAAAAAAGTAAATTTATCAATTACTTTCACTAAAAGAATTTACAAAACAGTTATTCATTATCTTATGAATACCATGACAATTAATTATTTGAGCATTGCAGCTCATATTCTTCACAAGTACTAAGTTAATATTTATTATGTTAGTTTTTAACATATTCCAGCTTCACTAACAGAACGATTATGAGATAGGAAGCACCAATCCTATCAGATAACTACACATTATGTCCAAGATTCTGGGAAGAGCATGTTCCACTTGAATATTACGCTAATTCTGCAACTGTGAAACTAAGGTTCTTTTACACACTTCCATGAATGTAACCAATGCACACTTTATAATTCACCACCCAGCAAGTATCACTGAAGTGCTGGTTTATAATCTAAAGAGAAAGTGCCTGTTCCAGTATAAATGAAAACATTGCATTCAAACAGGTATGGTCTGAGGCATATTGTGCATGGGGTTCTCCTCTAGTAGTGTCATACACATCCCCTGTATGAGACAATTAGTACTAGGATGATGTCTAAAAGAGACAGGAAGAACTGCCCTTTAAGGAAGCCTCTCACTCCAGCTGCTATATAGCCACAATTTGAGACAGTTCAACTTGAGAGTTAAAGGTTATGGATCTTGTATAGGATGTATCCTATATCATAAAAAATCAGATAGCTCCTCCAAAAAAAAAACAGTTGCATGATTTAAGTACTATTTTGCAAGACTACGTGGAAGAGTCTTGATGAGATGCTGGAGAAGACCAGTGGATCCCAATATAAGTACACCCTGGCTCCTAAAGGCTAGTGCTATCACAAATACTGGCTACAGGAAAATGTAGTAAAATGTTAATCTGTACTATGAAACACTAATCCCAGATCCTAAAGAAGGGAAAGGCTAGTCACAGATCCCAGAATAAACTGTCATCAATGGTGGCAAGTTGTACATTGTTGCACTCTGCAGCAAATTAAAGGGAAAGATGAATCAAAGCTGTTTGCCAAGATAATTTACTAGCAAAAATTGAAAAATTCATTAGATGCAGAGCCACTGGTGTAATCTTTTACAAAGTCTATCAGCTCAGTTTTGGAAATGTTTTATGGCATTGCAGACAAAACCTCACTCCTATTTGTACATAAGAGAGGCTACAGACAGTCTTTCTGTCATGTTCTGGTTCATAAAACTCTTGAATAAAGGTAGAAAAGGCCCATACATTAGCTGATGACTTAGCTTTATCATACTTTCATATGACTAAGACTCTTGAATGGGTCATTAACTCATTTTCACTCAGAAGCCCTGATGTTCTCTACGATCAGCAACAATAACTAGACTGAAATGCTGCCTGAACTACATCTATTGTCCAGCTCATTTTCTCTTTAGAATTAAAAAACCACCCCCAACCCCCCGCAAGAGTAAATCACTAATCAATCTCAAGGTTAATATGTACTGCCTCCAAGGAGAGAGTCCTCAATTGTAGGAGATTCTCAAGAAGGTCCAAAGAACACATTAGATGTTTCCAGTACCACCCCAAGAAACTGACTGTCATTATTAGGTCTGTCCTTCATAATTACTTTTTCCTACCTTGTACTAAATTATTGACATACAGCTTAGCTTGGTTTCTAAGGAAAAGCAAAGGTATTGCAGGAAGAACACACATTTGAATATTGGTAGGTGAATTTTATATTGTGCTCAGAGTATTTAAGGGGCTCCAAAACTTCATCTGTTTATCTGAATTAAGGAAGGTCTTGTCTTAATCTTTTGATGGAAGTAAATAATAAAAACATCAAAACCTCTTAAAAAGGCCATAGTACCTTATGTCCACCCATTTCAGTGGGGCTGATATTGACTCTTTTGTACTACAAGTCTTCCGCAACCATAATGAAAATGCATCCCTTATTTGATACGCAAGGAAGGGTGAAAAATAATCAAGATTCTGTGAGATTCCTCTTGCATATTATTAGTTGATATAATGAGAACCTCTGCTATATATTTGATGAACTCCAGAGCTACCTTAAATATACTTAAGGCAAGGATGGGAAAAAAAATAAATCACCATCTTATGAATGGATGATAAGAGTAAAAACCTCAGGGATCAGTTATTCTTTCACTCTTAAAAGTGGTTTTAATTTTTCTAGCTCTTCTTCTAAGACCCAAACTCTTTTGGATGTCCTGGCTAGGATGGCCCTCCTTGGTGCTCTGCAAAAGAAGACTCAGCTTCAGAAAGGGCATGTTTTTAAGGCTTCCAAGAGCATGCCATCCACATATCAGGAAAGCAAGTAAGGCCAGTGTCCGGAAAGGGGATGCCAGTGAGCTCGACTGCTTCTCATTACCCTTTATGACAATTTTCTCATAGTTGCAATTCTCTGACTAACAAGAAAAAAATTAATACACCTCTAAGTAACAGTAATTCCAAAAACCCCTGCTTCTGGTTAGAGAACAAAAATATCAGAAATTCATCCATTACCTATAATTTCAATGATACAATTAAATTCAGTGTAGCTGCCAAATAGCTTGCATTTGGTCCTTGGGGATGGATAATGCTAAATTAGTTAGATTTCTCAGTTTCTGGATTTGCTTAGAGAGTAATGAAGTACATCTTCCCAAGTTAAAACAGATCTCAATAAGGTTAATTAACTTACAACACTGAAGTCTTGTTTCAAGGACAAATCACATAATTTTTAAGTTTTTATTCTAATACAAGCAGATGATTACTTGTTTAACTTAAAGATTAAAATTTAACAAAGTAAAAGATTCTGTTTTTAAAGCAAGCAACCTGCAAAGAATTAAAGGGTAGCAAGAACAAGTCATGACCGATAATGTAAAGAAAAGCAAAGCCTGAAAAGAAAGCCTGAAAAAAACTGCACTGCTGTCAAAGAATGTAAACAAAGAGTAATGGCTGGGCATGAAGTGCTAAAGGCAGAAAGCACAATTCTAACGGCACAAATACAGCTGATTGGAAGACTCTTATCTCAGATACCATATACACAAATACACCAAAAATTGAGTTTATATGATCAGGAATATCTTTGCATATGTCCTACTTGCATTTTCAGAGACAAATATGTTATCAAAACATGGTTTCAAACAATAGCACAATGCTCAAAGAACAGGCAAAGTAACTACAAATAAAGATAAGTTAATGTTTTAATACAGGCCTCAGCTACTGTAAAAGATTGTGCTTGGCCTGCCACTTCACAACCCAAAGAATACTGCCTTTGTAGGTCACCTTTAGTCATTAATTTAGATTCAAATCGTTCTCTTGTTTTTTTAATATACCCTTCTCTTTTTATATGACTAAGAAGTGTTGGCTAATAAAAGATATGAATGGAAACATAAAAAAAAAAATTATTTCTTACACACCAAAAGCCAAGAAAAAGCACTATGGAATTCAATAAAGATAAGGAAAACCATCACTCTCTTCACTTTCTGAAAAGTGTAAACCTCTAGAGTTAACACAGATGCCTAGATAATAAAATGCCTTTTTAAAAAAAATAATTATTTAAAATCCAAAATATTCCAAATAATTTAACTTTTAATTTTGACCTAAACAAGACCAGTCCCATCCGTTTTAATGGCTACAATATCCATCTATCTTTTTACCTAGAGACTTATTTATTCAGAACTTCCTAAACAAGTACTACTTTAAACAGAAGTAACAATTTTATATTGTTAAAAATCATTGTGCATACCTATTGTATCAGCTTTACTAAATCTTCGTGTGACAACATTGTTCATATTTCCATTTTCACAAAGCTTTAATTCTGTTAGATATACTTCTACTTTGCAGTGCTTTACAAACATACCCTGTTCAACAACCTGAAAAACAGATTGGGATCAAATATCAGTACAAATATGTTTTCATATACACATTTCAAAATATCTTTGAGAACTCTTCAAGAAACTGAAGTTCAGGGAATGCAAGACACTTTAATAAATGCCAAAAATTAGAACTAAAATTCTCCTATAACTTTTTAGAAATATAGTAAACTAAAAAGTTTTTTTTTTCCATTATGATGATGTCTTACCTGTGTATAATATCTTGACGTTCAAAGTGTTAAGTATAGAGGAAATCACAAATATGCATACTTAACCAAAAGATAAGATACTTGATCAAAAGATAAAAACCACCAAAAGTTATTTTTATTTCAAAACACATTTTGTTGTATGCTACTTCCCTCAAAACATGAAGAACTAGTTTTCGCAGATAAAAAATACTTATAAAAAACAGAACACACACTACTAAAATGTAGATATCACATTTTAAAACAAATACTGTACTTAAACAAGACATACAAATATTCCACTTATATTCTGGTAAAGAATACATCAATTTGAAATTTAATCTACCCATTACAGTTGCTTATTATATGTTCATTTTTGTAACACCTATTACAAAATAAAGTGTACAGGATTTTTTTTTATAAAAGTAAAATGTAGAAAAAAATATTCAGGGTCACCTCTTAAGTGGTTTTCCCTTTGATCTTCCAAAGTGTAACTGCAGTACTTAGTCATGTAGACTGTTCCAAAAATAATCATTGGCCTGATATGTGATACATCTGACAAATATGGTAAAAAAAAAAAAGCCAACAGCTAATTGCTAGGAGAGATCTGCTATCTGCTCTACAAATATAACTTGTATGCAAGTGCCATAGAAAAAAAAATTTAGTGAATTATTTCTCTCCTGTTCAGTAGTTTGCCTTAGTTTTCATGACTGACAACCATGACATTTAAATAAACATGCATATTAATTTGAGCAGCTTAGTAGGATTTTCAGCTACTAGAGTAACAACAAAACAGTTGCAGCAAACAAAACGGCAGTATGGCCAAGGCATTTCTGAGAAAACTGACATTGCAGTGGTGGTATTACCACATCCTATTACATAAATTCATGTTATTCGACATGGATCAAAAACAGTATTGTACCAATTTAAAATTTGGATCCACATTTCAAAAAAGTTGATGAATCAAAGGAGATGAAAGAAAAGTATCATCCCACTGCTATGAAAAAACATTACGGCAGATAGGAGAAAGAATCATGAACAAATGACAAAAGCATCAGAAAGAAAAATTCTGAACTGGAACAGGCATCTCAGAGGATAACTACTGTTCATATAAGCAGAAAATAACGAAGCTCTGCCAGTTTACCTGGCCACTCATTACACTCCATGTATTTTTTCAGTTAGCTCCTTCCAAGTAGAAGGCAAGTTACCCTAATTTCCCTTCTCTCTCCTTCCATTTTCCCCCCAAAGTGAAAAAATTACAGAACTTTTACTTTACCATGATGATGGAAGAGCATTCAGTTTGCTGAAATCCATCTTCAGGAAAAACAGTAACAAGTTGATAACAAATATATCTTTAAAGAAGGAGAGCCATTTTAAAGGATTTCAGCTCTTACAGAACTAGAGAAAAAGAAAGAGACATTCCAGGGATGTCTCTTTAAAAAACCATCTATTTTATTGTATTAAAGAGAATGTTAAAAAAAAAACCCAACAAACTACTTCTACTGCTGACCAAATGAACCTTGAAGAGACAAAATTTCTTCTATAGCTACACTGGCATTTGTTTGAAAGGAATGCACTTCAAATAAGCAGCCAGCATGCATGTAGTTAGACCATAACTTTTTTTTTCTCCTGTGACATGGTTATATTACAGCAGAAGTCACATCAAACTAAATTCTAATTATACTATTCTTTCAGCAGTTTTTCAGGAATTAAAATAAAGATCCCTGTAACTGAAAGAATACACCCTATTGGTCAACTTAGAAAGGGCAAACATACCAAAATGTGTTTTAAAACTTAAGTAATTCGGTCCAGTGAGGATGCAATTGTAATCACAAACGTGAAAAATCTTAAGAAATAATATAAACAATAAGGATTATCTGATCAATAAACTAGTGAAATGTCATAGCACCTTAACAATAAGGATGGTACGGGCTGGAGCAAACAAAAATTAACATTCAAGACATTAATTTTTAAGGATGATGGAGGGCCACAATATCCATCATACTACGGACTACTACTTGTGTTGAGGTAAGCTTTTTGCTTAAAGAAAAAACTCCCTTAGTAAGCTGCTGAATACAGAAGACCGCTTATCAGAAAAGGAACTACCAATTACTCTGCCAGTGTTAACATTATTAGAGCTAGGCTTTTCACTAATGTAGCCAATACAGTTTTAGGGTTTTAGATTTGATTACAAAATCATTGGTGTTAATAGACTAACAAGCTTCTAAAGCAAGTTCTTCCTGAAATATGAGAAGGCTTCCTTCCAGAAGAAAAAGTATTATATCCTTTGCATCCTCATTTCTCAATATTAAAAACTTACGCCTCTAAAATCTGAATAAAAATTAGATATCTATAAGCAACTAAAGTAGTTGTCTATATGACTATCATAGGCCAAGACTTACAAACTTTAACAAACTCCTGTGCAACTCCTGCATGTTTGCAGGACTACATCTGAACCATATTCATCCCAGGGGTAATTTAAGAGTACCTTGCGTGCTATTGGCTCTTGACCTTCCATCAGTGTGTACCAGCTAACTAGCCTATTCCAGCCTTCAGTTGGCAAAAGGATGTAGTCCAGCTCATCAATGAGATGTTCCTTGAGAGACTGAGAATCACCATCTATAAGAGAAAGATATTTTCACTTGAATACTGTAATTCTGTTACTTGAGTTTTTAATGTAACAATTTTTCATATAAATAGTAAAATTTTTTATCAGTATTATGGTGTTCAAAGCAAAACTCCCCTGAAACTATTTAGGCAAGCTGTCCAGTTCATGCATAGCACACCTATTACAGGTAGTCTTCCTACACTCAGGAACCCAATTCCACATCCTCATGCAATCGTAAGTGCCTAACTTGTTATCACACACCATCATAGCCTTCAGAGAAATCAGTCTATTTCTCCACCCACTTCACACATATTCCCACATCACCATGGATACTTCCATTTCACGCTACAGTTGCATCCTTCACTGAAAATGCAGGAATGGGTAGTTACAGTAGATCCAAGACAAAGTTTGAAGTAATTTACTCCATGTCAGACTGGGAAAATAACACGGTACAACCCTCCTACTTAAAGAATCCTATGTGCTCTGGAAACACAGTTCCTACAAAATTCTTCACAGGGACAGCAAGATGCAACACTTGAAAGAAGTACAGCTTGGCAACCTCTTCACATAAGTAGCATGCTTTTAGTTTTGGTTCAATCCTTATCACAGGAGTAAGATAGCAGCTATCCTGTATGTATAAGGGGCGATTCCAGATGTGAGACACTGTGAGCCTCAGACAATTAGAGCAGTGGCTGTACAAAAAAAATCTATATTCAAGAACTATATCCAAGAAATATTTGCTGAAACAATTCAGGACTTGCACTATCAATTCTTACGTGGTCCACTCAAATACTATGCATATGGAGGTTCCATTACAACTGGTAGCAAGGTGTGGGAAAAAAATCCACACACACATCTTCAGGTCCACGTATCTCTTTAAGGAGTTCATTCTGTATTTCTGCACTGATCTGACATTGCTACAGGGGTTTATATTGAGAAGATATAATTTGGATTCCATTCTTTCTTTCTAGAACCCACAATATTTTTTTGCTAGTATAATTTTTTCAGAACCTTATTCCATCAAACAAGTCCTCTGATGACTCAGTCCTTCATATGCAACACTGTTTTCTATAATAAACAATCAGCTATTCTAAATGACTACTTCCTTGTGCTTGCTTTGCTACTCGAAAGTCGACTATCTATTTCTTGTTCTCAAGATGACACACATGCTTACCAGTACATACAACATTTTTGCATATGTTGATACTGAAACCTATGCCTGTTACTTTTCACTGCTCTCACTTCATCCAAATATTCTGGAAACAAGGGAGGAGGATTTAAGCAATATAAGTGCAACATACTGCTCCAGTTTCCTGGAATCAGTCTTTCTTGAATTTAATAATAATTTTTCTTATTTCTGCATTACACTGCAAATATCTGAGAAAGCATGCCCATTTTAAATTATTTTCTATTCTTTAAATCATGTGTAAATTTTCAGACTTAACTCTTAAGAAGAGGAGTATGACAGCAACTAGTGCATACTACATGTCAAAGACAGGATTAAAATTGAAGCATTTTCAAGTTCAATTTATGCTACATAGGAAACCTTGTACAGAGGACATCTGCTTTGCAGATTTATAAGACCAAAAAAAACTTAGGAAATTATCCTCTGTAATTTCACACCACTTTATATCACTGAACTGCATAATACTACTTCTTCAATTGTTCCAGAAACAAAGTAAGGTATCAACTTAAAAATGTTATTTTAAATCAACCAATTTAGTTAAGCTAAAAAAATCTTAGTGACCTCAGGCTAGGGATTTGTCAACTTGACTAAATTTCAGCTCGCAAGGAATCCCAAAATATCATTATAAACCAGCAATTTGTACATTATTAAATAATCTGTCACCATTGCAAAGGAGTTCCAATAATTTTATTTATAAAATTGTAATTTTTAGGGAAATCTATTCCAGTTCCCTTGTCATGGTCTGAAAACAAAAACTAAAAGGTTCACCTTCATATATGCTGAGGTTCATTTACATTATCAACTACAAAAGATGAACAATCTGTGACAAATTCCCACTAAATGTTAGTATTGTGTTACTACACAATTGGAAACAGTTACCTTTGAGAAGTCCAGAATTATCGATAGGACCAGGGTACACATTCTGATCTCCCATCTGGTATTTGTCCCAGCTGTCAAAACCAACATATTTTTTCCACTGTTTGAACCAGCGACTATCCACGAGATACCTTAAGTAGAAGAAGAAATACAAGTTAATTACTGGCACACTACTACTTCCTACAGTACCAATTAATTCACGTTAATGCACTTGTATTCATCAGCCTTGCAAAACGGAGAGCGTTTTTCTGTCTGGTTTGCTAACCATTATCAGCACCTCCTACCAAAAGGACTTTACTGTGAGCAACTAAAGATCCCACTAATCACAGAAGGCAAGTAGAGTTTTGCAAGACTGCCAATACAGCACATCAGAAGTTGAAGAATTGCAAGTTCAAAAAACATTTCCCTTTTTAGCATGAAATATCAACTTTAGTTCCTGTTCTCGGGTTGTGAATTCATAAGATTCAAGTTAAATCTTTATAACTAGACAGCTTGTTAAAAAATGAAAGATAACTTTTAGTAAAATATAAATAAAACTCCAGCAGGAAAAAATAACATTCATATGCAAGTTGAAAAACTTTAGAACTCTGATGTCCTGTCAAGAACCAGAGAGTGTGTTTTCTTCCTTTGAGTCAGCATCAACACATACAGTAAATGTTCTGCTTTTGAGGCAGTACTAGATGTTCCTCCTACATATAATTATCAACTTCACACTTCCATGTAAATGGATATCTTTAAACTCAGCTCCACAGTATTTCTAACCAGATTAAACTTGCTGCCAGTCTGGCTTTTACAAAGCCCAGTGATACTATATTTTATATATTTTTGTCCAGAATTTCTTTGAGATTAATATACCAAATTTGTCCAGTGATCGTCATTCCCCTCAAAAGACATCACCTTCATTATGCCTCTTAAAAGTATCCATGTCCTTCTGGTCTGATCTGTACCAACCATTTTGCTATTACCCTAATACATGTCACAATATCACTAGCAGGATGAAAAGCTTGGTCAAACTAAAGATCATAAGTAATCCTCATTCTTTTCTCCAGTATTTGACTACTAAACTCTTATTTGTAGCATACCAATAACATGCTGTTGAACCTTTCAGAGATCTCAAAACTTCCTGATGATTCAAATACTAGTCTGCTAATACATATAGCTTTATTAGGCAATCATTCTATATGAGTTACTCATGAACACCATGGAAAAACACAGAACAAAAACATTCACACCCACAACTCGTAACCAAAGAAGGACAAAAACATTACTTGAGTATACATTTTTCTGAATAGGTTTAAAAAAAATACATTAGCTGGGCCTTAAACCTGTGCTTCTAAATGATGTATCTACAATAAGAATTAAAAAACCTAAGATACATAAGTCTTGACTCAATTCTTCTTCTCAAGTCCAGTTTTTCTCAACACACAGATCAAGCCTGGAGTCAGCCTCCAGAAGTACTGCTAGCAAACATCTGGTAAAGAAGTACTAGTCAGTAAGTGGGATCATTTGTACTCAACTTATCAGGTTCTCTTCTCAGTAAGCCCCAGTTCTTCATTTTCTACAGAATGCACTCTTAAGTTTATGAATCTATAGGTAAAAGTCTTTTGGAAAGTAAGAGGAAGAAGGCATTAAAAAGCTATACATAGATCACCACAAGCTTTTGGATGCTTACTTCCCCTATACTCCTTCAAAAACATCAAAGACTAAGGTCTCCAAGGCAACTTTACAACATCTATGACAACAGCATCCCAACTGATGTGGTAAACAGTCTTGATTCAAAATATGATTACATCAACACTAATAATGAGTCTGTGAACAAATCACTCCTAGCCTTAGCTTGCAACTACCCTATGCAAACAACATAAACAGGAAAGGCAGAGCTGTGTCTCAACCATTACAGACATAGTTCTGCCAGTGCAAGAACTTCAGTTAGGGACCAAACTTCTCCCTTACTGCACCAATGCCAGCCTTACTCTGGAGCACGTACTTTGACCACCTCACAGTGTAACACTTGGTCTTCTGTCTATTCTACTACCATAACCTCTCACTACTGCTCCAGAGTAATCAATTACTATGAGTTGCTACCTCTTCTGAAATTGTTCTGTAGACAACTTTGTCTTTGAACTTGCAACACACAACTTCTTCCTGAAATTTTAAATGCTTAATAAAACAGTCAGAAAACAGCCTCAAACTGCCTTCTGAACTGAAATTATATATATAAAAAAGTTTTGGTTTAAACACTATTAAGGAAATGTAGATGAAAAGCTTTTTGCTGCAAAAATGTCCTTTTCCACTCTTACCAAACTCAGAAACAGACAGTGACTTAGCAGGGTGTTTTGGGCACAATCCATCCAACCAAACTGGGAATGAAACAGCATGGCTAAAGTTCTATTCCAGAACAATGAGATACTTAACATCATTATGCTTTTACAATATTGAATCATTCTAAAGTAGCCTGGCCCAGCACTGATTATTTCAGTTTTGTGGCAGAATTCTCTTGACATGTTCTGTTTTGTTTAGAGCAAGTTTAGAATGTAACAGGAAACAAGTAAAAAGATTTAAATGCAGACTATTACAAAAAAACCAAAACCCACAGATGTAAACTTCATTAACACTAAAAAAAAGGTAAAACTTACTAGTTCAAATCTGAGTAAGTTCCAGTCACATACACATTTCACACTTCAAAAATCAAACTCATTCAGTTACATTTCTTGACCACTTTCCATGTCCTATACTATTCAGTGGAGTTATAAGCGTTACCAAAAAAGCAATGAGCTTCCCAGAATAATTCAGATCTTTGTGTACAGAAAAACTCATTTTGACACATAAGAAAGTATCCAAGTAAAGCCTTACTGTCTTATGTAAAAGCGTAACTTTTAAGGTTCTCGTAACACAGTAGCATATTTAATGATCCCTGCAGCAAAACCTATAAAACCATAAACCTCAAACTGTTGTGAAACTAAATGAGAAGCAACTTCAACTACCAAAAATGATCAGCTTGCAAAAAAATGCATATAATTTGACTATCCACATGTAATTTAAAATTTGGTATTATCATTTGTTTAAAACAAGCATTCCATTTTAAAAAATATAAGAAAAAAAGCATGACTATTTTTTAAAGCATCAGATGAAAGCATAGATATAAACTTTAAAACTTGAAAAGTTCCTTCAAAACACCATGTTTGCCATCATGCAATAGACAGAGGAAGGGAAGCAACATCATTAACAGCTCCATAGTATGCTTTAAAGTATCTGGTATATTTATTACTAGAAGCTTTCAATTATATTTTTACTATCATACATATAGTCTTCCTAAGCAAGACTGCAATAGGAGAGAAAAAACCAAATTAGGTTTAAATTTTACAGAGATAATGTGTGCTTCCTTTTCTACAAGCAATAGTCAGACGCAGATGTCTTCAGGTATGACCTGGTTCAATGAAGGCAAGAATGCTTTTGCAGGCAGAAACTCGACAGTGAATGCAGAAAGGTTTTAAAGTGTTTTCTCTACCAGGTTCTCTATCCAATTCATGTCCAAGGTACGCCACATGCATCCATTACCCAGAAATGGGACAGGCAAAGAGAATAAAGCAGACAGATTTGCAGTAGGTAATTTAGCCTATTTAACTTAAAGATCACATGGATAAGAACTTAAGAATTCAGTGAACGCCACAAAGATAGTCCACTGCAAAGCTAAGAAAGAAAAATTGGATCTCTAAAAACAAATTTTCACCAAACAAAAACTAACTGTTGCAATCAAATTAGTGTTATCTTCCATTTCCTGGAAGAGAAAAACAGATACTAGACTCTACCATGTAAGTTTGAATTGGTATGACCATGTTAAATGGAGTGACTTTATTCTACACAGCGCATATCTCACTGAATATAAAGTCTAATATTAAAGATAATTTTTGCTTTACCCTGAGCCTGCCAGAACAAGCCTAATGTTACCATAATTGAATCATTGGTATTTGTGTCTTTTTCTTTTTAAAGTGCAAGCAGCGGCAGTTCTTCCCACATTTGCAAAAATACAGCTCTTTCATTCTGCCTATACAAATTCCAAATCCTTTTACAACAGCATCTTAATATTTGACTCATTTTTCTTTAATAAATGGAAAAAGGGATATCAAATTTGATTAATCTGACATGCCCTCACTTTTTACTTCATACAGTTTTCAGTCTTATGAACACACTCAAGGCCAACAGCATTCTCACCTTTCTCTTCTGCTGTGGCCACCCAGCACTGTTCCATAGGAGACGTAACTGCATGGGGTTATGAATAAAGTCACCTTCAGGCATCTATTCTACCAGTAAACCTGACAGCCTTGTCCCCTATTCCATCCTGTGGCCTCCACCTTCTTGATCTAAATTTGAAAGAACTATGAAGCTTAAAGAAGGAAAGCTATAATTTTACACAGAAGGGAAATTATCATATAGGCAAACTGTCCATTGTTTTAATTAATGCTTAACAAATTACTGCTCCTGTAGAACCATATTACTTTTCAAATGCTTTGTAATAAATGTCTTATCATACACCAGCAACATAGTGATTAACAGAAAAGTTTTATAATTGGACTTAACAGTGCAAGGAAGCTTGGGGTCCACTGTTCTAGATTTCAAATGTTCACCATTACCTATTTCAGCACTTCAACTTTATTCTTCCACATACAATTGATTTTGCCACCAACCAAATTTTGCCTTGCAGTGTCTCTTTACAGTTCTCCCTAACTGAAAAGTTGTAACATTTCTGTTTCCTAACAAAAAGTGCAAGAAGTTATATCACTTCTCTTCAAATTTAGGAATTTTACTTACACGGTCAAATAAGAGATTAATATTTCTAGCATTAAAAAGTTGAAAAGCCACCTATAAAACATGCAAGCATGTAAGTGCGATAGGAACTAAACAGCACAGTCAAGTTCCTATCCTGGAAAGAAAATGCTGAAAGACAAAAAAAAAAATCTTAAAAAAATCCACACAAAGTTTGAGATTCTCTGAGTGAAGTCTATCCAGTAGCACAATCAAGAAAAGCAAAACAAAGAATGCATGAACATGCAAAATTTGAAAGCTACTGAAATTATTTTGTCTCCAGAGCTGCGTCCAGCTCCGGAGTCCTCAGCACAGGAAAGACACGGAC